TAACAAACATAGGAATGTGCCTTAATGCCAATAGTGACTACCCAGACAGGTACAAGAGGAGTGTTGTTAACACTTATGTCGACCGTGCTCTCAGTCACAGCTCAGGATGAAAACAAGTCGATGAAGAACTCTGTAGGGTCAGGCAGGTCCTTGTCAACAATGGCTTCTCCAATGGTTATGTTGAAGACATTATAAAAAGAAAGGTGAAACGCCATGCAACCTCTGAAGAGTCAACTAACACAAAACTTGTACCTCCAATTAGACTGTTTAACAGGAACTTCTTTTCGACGGCTCATAAAACGGAGGAAAGTGTCTTGAAAGACATTATTAATAGGAACGTTATCCCTACAGACAAAAATCAGAAGATACAATTGACAATTTACTACAAAAACAAGAAAACGGCCAACCTACTCATAAAAAACTCTCCAGACACCAAACAGAACGCCTTGAAAGAAACCAACGTCGCCTATGCCTTCACATGCCCACTTGGGGACTGTCAACCCCAAAAATCTCAGTATATATGTAAGAAAACAACGTCTGTTTCTAGGTGATTAACAATACACAAACAACAGGGCTCCATCAAGGAACATATAATCTCCTCTCACAACCAGACCATCACCAGAAAAATCTTAACAAGCAACACAGAAATAATCGATAGATACAGCGATAGCAGGAGACTCGACATCAGCGAGGCACTACACATCAAAAAGTCAATACCAGCAATAAACAGCCAATTAACACAAAACTATATTCTACCCCCTTCAAGACCCCGAACCAACATAGAAGCAACAAGAGAAAATATAGGCCAATAGGCCTTCTGTTGTTAATTTCATTCTTATGTTCTCATATGCAAATTATAAAAGTGATGTGTATTCTATCTTGTCACCTCACCCAAAAAAATTTGTCATATCACCTCACCCCAAAACGAATATAAGCATGAAATGATACGTGTAAACCTGTCTTTGAAAATGTGAGAAGTCCTTGCAAAATGCTTTTAGGCGTCAGACCATAAATAAAAAATGAGAAAATGAACTTTGGAGAGTTAATTTTTTCAATTAACCTCGACAGTGAAGAAAAACAAAGAAATATTAAGAAGATTCGTACTAGAATCATTAATCTTACCCTTTCGGTCATATTTAACAACATATGTTTACAAGAAAGCCTGCTACCAAAATATATTATATATATATATATATATATATATATATATATATATATATATATATATATATATATATATATATAATATATTCTTTGAATGCAAATATATCGCCAGGTAACAAGGGATAAATTGTGAATGTGCATAATAATAACTGGTGTTAATAACTGGTGTGAAGGGGGAAAGAAGGTGGAGGCGCGAGAGATGCCAGATGTTTAAGCGGTTAACCCTTTCACAAGTAAACAGTGGCACGGGCAAAATACCCAAGTGTTGGGAGACGCAATAAAGCGTTTACAACACTAACAGGTCTGAGCAAGGCGACGAGAGCGTTTAACCTGTGAAAATATACCATCCCAAGGTGAAACTCTCGCTGTGAAAGCAGGCCGCGCGCGCGCCTGTGTCTGAATGTGCAACTATGTGCTTGTGTGTGTGTGCAGCTATGTGTGTGTGTGTGTATGTGCAGCCGTGTGTGTGTGTGTGTGCCAGCGCCATCAACTTATGGTAGAATTGATAAGGTAGATAAAAACATTATTTAACACGAGTAGAACACACGTGGAAGCTGAGTACCCAAATGACCCACAGGGACATTAGAAAGATTTTTTTTTCAGAATAGTTAATAAGGGAATGCATTAGGCAGTGATGTGGTGGAGGCTGACTCCATACACAGTTTCAAATGAAGATATGATAGAGCCCAGTAGGCTCAGGAATCTGTACACCAGTTGATTGACCGTTGAAAAGCGGGACCAAGGAGCCAGAGCTCAACCTCCGCAATCACAACTGGGTGAGTACAAGTGCAAGGTGATGGAAAAGAATCAAGAACCAGGGGACCGAATGGCCAATATACGATGAAGGGAAACTACCTCCCTATAACGTCTAGAGAAAAAGACCTGGGAGTGGACATAACACCAAACCTAACTCCAGAGGCTCATGTAAACAGAATAACGTCAGCCGCATAATCTACTTTGGCAAACTTCAGAACATCCTTCAGGAACTTGAGTAAGGACGCTTCTAGATCACTGTATACCACTTATGTGAGGCCAGTCTTAGAGGATGTCGCCCTGTCGTGGAACCCCCATCTTAAAAAATACATAAGGAAGCTCGAAAAGGTGCAGAAGTTTGCAACGAGGCCCGTTCCAGAGCTGCGCTGGATGAGGTACGAGGACGGACTGAAGGAACTAAACCTGGCGACGTTAGAAAAGAGGAGGGAGAGGGGGACATGATACAGACGTATAAAATACTTAGACGGATTGACAAGATGGAAACAGAGAAATTGTTTACAATGAATAACAATAGAACAAGGGGGCACGGATGGAAGCTTGAGACTCAGATGTGTCATAGAGATGTTAGAAAGTTTTCTTTTAGCGTAATGATAGTAAATAAATGGAATGACCTAAAGAAACAGGTTGTAGGTTATCTTGAGGTTATCTTCAGATGAATTCGGGACTTAGCGTCCCCGCGGCCCGGTCCTCGACCAGGCCGCGGAAGTTACACCCCCCCCCTCAATAAACACCCCCAACATCCAGGGTGTGTGTGTGTTACACATCCCCAGGAAGCAGCCCGTAGCAGCTGTCTAACTCCCAGATACCTATTTACTGCTAGGTGATCAGAAAAATGAGGGTGAAAGAAACTCTGCCCATTTGTTTCCGCCTCCACTGGGGATTGAACCCGGAACCTCAGGACTACGAAACCCGAGCGCTGTCCACTTAGCTAACCCCATTCATAACTTTAACAGCAGGTATGATAGAGAAATAGGCCAGGAGTCATTGCAATAGACAACCAACGACTAGAAAGGCGGGGTCCAACAGCTAGAATTCGATCCTGCAGGTAAAAATAGGTGAGTACACACACACACTTTTGCAAGTTTTAAGATATAATATAAACAAAACTGAGATCCATATTATACACATTATTTTTAAACCAAACTCAAATATTTAGCGTCTCCGTCAACATACATTTATGTATATCCTTCAAAGTTTATATCTCACTCTAAGTTAATCCTTCACCAACTTGAGAGGTCATTAGTGGAGGCAAAGGCGAAGAAAAGTAAAGAATAACAAAAGAATAAAATATTGAATTTTGTGATGAATGACAATAATGTTGAAGATGGTGAATGACAATAATAGTGACGATGAATGATGAATGAAAATGATGATGCAAAAAAAATAGCCACAATGATGAATAATGGTGACACACTCAGAACGATAGTAAATAATGAGGACCAAGAGAGCCACAACACAAACTTGGAACCTGCCATACTATGGAGGGATTATGTGTACAAACGGTTTACCAGGAAGCACTAATGCACGCTGCAAATATGGTCACCCAAATGCAGGCGATGAGTCACAATAACGTGGCTGAAGTATGTTGACCAGACCACACACTAGAAGTTGAAGGGACGACGACGTTTCGGTCCGTCCTGGACCATTCTCAAGTCGATTGAGAATGGTCCAGGACGGACCGAAACGTCGTCGTCCCTTCAACTTCTAGTGTGTGGTCTGGTCAACATGGTCACCCAAAGTCACGTAGAACTATCGTAAATACAGGTAAACAAAGCTCCAGGATTCACAAGGGTTTTCCACCCATAAAGCTGTACAACTAAATACTAGAGAATGCTATGACAGAGCCTGCGCGACACTTCATACCGAAACCCGGTGAATAAAACCAAATGAATGAAGGAAAAGTTATGATTCAGCTACAACCCCTACATGCAGGGTGACTCTTTTTCATGGGAGGAAGAGAAGAATAATGGCTAGAAATGTTAAGGCTTTACCACCATGCCATGGCACCCCCCCCCATAAAGGGTACCAAAACAAACTCATTCCATTATAACTAATGGTTTCCTAAATGAGGGAAAATGCAGTGTTTGAAGCCGTGACTGAATCTCACCCAAAGGTCTATTATGCAACCTGTCCTCTTAAGGTCTCCCAACGTCAAGAAAACGGTCAATTTAAAGTATCTTCTCCTAACCTACCAGAGGACCCAAAACAGAAAACGGGACTGTAGTCACTTTGCGAGCCGCTTCCATTTTCTAATACGACAATTTTTGGCCTTGTGTACCGCATACGGTCGAAATGCGACGTTCTTTGTAGGGGGACAGGTTGTATTGTGACGGTGAGACAGGGTACCGGAGTACAACCGTCTCACATGTTGACAGAAAACGTGGGTTGAAGGGTGGGTGGGGGTCGTGGGCTGAAGGGTGGGTGGGGGTCGTGGGTTGAAGGGTGGGTGGGGGTCGTGGGTTGAAGGGTGGGTGGGGGTCGTGGGCTGAAGGGTGGGTGGGGGTCGTGGGCTGAAGGGTGGATGGTGTCAGCCTGTACACCACAAACACGCACCTTCACCGAGCTGCTAAACACCACCATGCATGTGGTTGAACAGCTGATGATACAAATATAAATGAAGATCTCAATTTATTTTCATGTGCATGTCTAAGATCTTAGTCCAGATAAGTACTTTAAAGACCATCTAATAAAAAGCGAATCTGCCTTGAAAACCTCACAAATTTAGCCCCATCATCATCCCGTTTGGTGACTTCAACTTACAACACCTTAAATGGGAAAAAATTGCCAAATAACTTTATATCAGATAAAATTTCAAGAATTTTCAATTTCTTTCTTTATTATGCACCCCATACCCATCCCGTGGGCGGTGGTGTAAAGGATTACAGAGGCACATAATCGGTTCAGGAACTGAACCCTCTAGTTCGCTGACACCCAGTATGGGCTTGTAGCGCCTGCTGACACCCAGTGTGGGCTTATAGCGCCTGCTGACACCCAGTGTGGGCTTGTAGCGCCTGCTGACACCCAGTGTGGGCTTGTAGCGCCTGCTGACACCCAGTGTGGGCTTATAGCGCCTGCTGACACCCAGTGTGGGCTTGTAGCGCCTGCTGACACCCAGTGTGGGCTTGTAGCGCCTGCTGACACCCAGTGTGGGCTTGTAGCGCCTGCTGACACCCAGTGTGGGCTTGTAGCGCCTGCTGACACCCAGTGTGGGCTTGTAGCGCCTGCTGACACCCAGTGTGGGCTTGTAGCGCCTGCTGACACCCAGTGTGGGCTTGTAGCGCCTGCTGACATCCAGTGTGGGCTAGGAACGCCTGCTGACACCCAGTGTGGGCTTGTAGCGCCTGCTGACATTCAGTGTGGGCTTGTAGCGCCTGCTGACACCCAGTGTGGGCTTGTAGCGCCTGCTGACATTCAGTGTGGGCTTGTAGCGCCTGCTGACACCCAGTGTGGGCTTGTAGCGCCTGCTGACATTCAGTGTGGGCTTGTAGCGCCTGCTGACATTCAGTGTGGGCTTGTAGCGCCTGCTGACATTCAGTGTGGGCTTGTAGCGCCTGCTGACATTCAGTGTGGGCTTGTAGCGCCTGCTGACATCCAGTGTGGGCTTGTAGCGCCTGCTGACACCCAGTGTGGGCTTGTAGCTCCCGCTGACACCCAGTGTGGGCTTGTAGCGCCTGCTGACACCCAGTGAGGGCTTGTAGCGCCTGCTGACACCCAGTGTGGGCTTGTAGCGCCTGCTGACATTCAGTGTGGGCTTGTAGCGCCTGCTGACATTCAGTGTGGGCTTGTAGCGCCTGCTGACATCCAGTGTGGGCTTGTAGCGCCTGCTGACACCCAGTGTGGGCTTGTAGCGCCTGCTGACACCCAGTGTGGGCTTGTAGCGCCTGCTGACACCCAGTGTGGGCTTGTAGCGCCTGCTGACACCCAGTGTGGGCTTGTAGCGCCTGCTGACACCCAGTGTGGGCTTGTAGCGCCCGCTGACACCCAGTGTGGGCTTGTAGCGCCTGCTGACACCCAGTGAGGGCTTGTAACGCCTGCTGACACCCAGTGTGGGCTTGTAGCGCCTGCTGACATTCAGTGTGGGCTTGTAGCGCCTGCTGACATTCAGTGTGGGCTTGTAGCGCCTGCTGACATTCAGTGTGGGCTTGTAGCGCCTGCTGACATCCAGTGTGGGCTTGTAGCGCCTGCTGACACCCAGTGTGGGCTTGTAGCGCCTGCTGACACCCAGTGTGGGCTTGTAGCGCCTGCTGACACCCAGTGTGGGCTTGTAGCGCCTGCTGACATCCAGTGTGGGCTTGTAGCGCCTGCTGACACCCAGTGTGGGCTTGTAGCGCCTGCTGACACCCAGTGTGGGCTTGTAGCGCCTGCTGACACCCAGTGTGGGCTTGTAGCGCCCGCTGACACCCAGTGTGGGCTTGTAGCGCCTGGTGACACCCAGTGTGCTCCTGAACGTCTACAACTTCACCGTCAAGACATTGTACCACAGTCTTAGCGTGGAGAGCAACCCGACACACCGGGCGCACTCCCTAACCACTTCTTCTCTTACAATGACGCTTGCTCTTGAGTGTAACTCCTCCCCCCCCCCCCATGATATAATAAAATCCCATAATCCCAGGATGCGGCACCGGGAATATAGGAAGATTGGAAGAAGGGAACTATCGAGAGAGTGCCAATCAGAATAACCCATCAGGATAAGCATTTGGGATGGAACGTCGGGAAGGAATGGTGCCCAATCACTTAAGACTGGAAGAAGAAAATGGAGGAACATATGCAGAACAAAAGAAATTCTTAATGATTCTGTTCATAAAGGATATCTACGAAATTCCTATGTTTAAATCTATCCATAATTTCACATATATTAGTGACAAGGAATACTAAAATTTTCAGCTTACTCGTTACTCTAATAATAATATATTTTAAATTCAGAAAAAAAACATGGATAAAAAGCCAGTCTCAAAATCCAAGAAGGAAAATTCTGCGAATTAAATGTTGGTAACAACCTCGAGGTAACTTTATGGTAAGATAATACAGGTGAATAGTGTTGAATGTTTAACTGCTGCAATAATTAGCACATACCTGGACAACTAGTGTTTACACACACAACTCTCACACAGACTTGCACACAACTCAAACGTTACACATACGGAACACACAACACAAACGTTACACAGACTTGCACACAACACAAACGTTACACACACAGACTTGCACACAACACAAACGTTACACATACGGAACACACAACACAAACGTTACACATACGGAACACACAACACAAACGTTACACATATGGAACACACAACACAAACGTTACACATACGGAACACACAACACAAACGTTACACATACGGAACACACAACACAAACGTTACACATACGGAACACACAACACAAACGTTACACATATGGAACACACAACACAAACGTTACACATACGGAACACACAACACAAACGTTACACATATGGAACACACAACACAAACGTTACACATATGGAACACACAACACAAACGTTACACATATGGAACACACAACACAAACGTTACACATACGGAACACACAACACAAACGTTACACATACGGAACACACAACTCAAACGTTACACATACGGAACACACAACACAAACGTTACACATACGGAACACACAACACAAACGTTACACACAACACAAACGTTACACATACGGAACACACAACACAAACGTTACACATACGGAACACACAGCGCTGCACCACATAACAATACGGTTGCATAAAATCATTTTTCTACTCTCACAATTGCAGAGTCAGCGGGTTTTAACTGCAAGGTTGGGTCTACCAAGGGGAACTCTGGTGTGTGTAGTGCATCTCCCATCTTGCTTCTAGCCTGCCTGCTTGCCTGCCTGCCTGGCTGGCTGGCTGCTTGCTTGCTTGCTTCCCTGCAGGCCTGGCTGCCTGCCTGCCTGGCTGGCTGGCTGCTTGCTTGCTTGCTTCCCTGCAGGCCTGCCTGCTTGCCTGCCTGCCTGGCTGGCTGCTTGCTTGCTTGCTTCCCTGCAGGCCTGCCTGCCTGGCTGCCTGCCTGGCTGGCTGGCTGCTTGCTTGCTTGCTTGCTTCCCTGCAGGCCTGCCTGCTTGCCTGCCTGCCTGCCTGCCTGGCTGGCTGGCTGCTTGCTTGTTTGCTTGCTTCCCTGCAGGCCTGCCTGCCTGGCTGCCTGCCTGGTAGCCTGCCTGCCTGCCTGACTGCCTGCCTGCCAACCCACCCCCATCTAATCTCTTTCTCTCTCACACACACATTGTATCTTGACGTAAAAATACCCAACGTCAAACCGAGATGTTTAATAATCACAGCAACTCACAAAATGTACACGATGTCCCATTGTCTATTCATGAACCCTATATTCAGTTTTCTATTCATGGTTAGGTTAGGGTTCAGGTTAATTAATACATTATTATAATAAAGCTGTGAGCGCTGTAGAAGACGGGCTGGTGTAAGAGCATGAGTGATGGGTTGACAACTGTTGGTAAATATTGGAGCGTGTGTGTGTGTGTGTGTGTGTGTGTGTGTGTGTGTGTGTGTGTGTGTGTGTGTGTGTGTGTGTGTATGTGTGTGTGTGTATGTGTGTGTGTGTGTTTACTAGTTGTGTTTTTGCGGGGGTTGAGCTTTGCTCTTTCGGCCCGCCTCTCAACTGTCAATCAACTGTTTACTAACTACTTTTTTTTTCCACACCACACCACACACACACACACCCCAGGAAGCAGCCCGTGACAGCTGACTAACTCCCAGGTACCTATTTACTGCTAGGTAACAGGGGCACTTAGGATGAAAGAAACTTTGCCCATTTGTTTCTGCCTCGTGCGGGAATCGAACCCGCGCCACAGAATTACGAGTCCTGCGTGCTATCCACCAGGCTACGAGGCCCCCCATGTGTGTATGTATGTGTGTGTGTGTGTGTATGTGTGTGTATGTGTGTGTGTGTATGTGTGTGTGTGTATGTGTGTGTATGTGTATGTGTGTGTGTGTGTGTGTTCGTGTTCCTAATTACCCCATGCTCACCCCTGGCTTTTGTGCAGCTTACATATAAATGTAACGTAACATTACATATAAATTCATATATATGTAATGTAACTTTTAATATAAATCATTCACAAATCAACCACATCACACGATACAGAAACCTTCACCATTTGTGATGTTTTTACCTACATAATAACGTCTAAAGATAAACACAAGTAGATTTTGTTTATCTAAAGATAAACAAAATTCACACCATTGAACACTCGAGAACGAATCGTACACCAACATCAAGGATTAAATCGTTCGTAAAAGTGTTCGTATTCCACAAGTTGGAACAGTGTACCGTCCGTCCTAAAAAGAAAAAAAAAAAGCAGTCTTGACGGATAAACGGAAGCCAAAATGAGGATTAAAAAGGGTTGTATTTTGGTGTTGTGTTGCGTGTGTTGGCTGGGAGCTTGCCTCCTCCCCCCCCCCCCCCCCCCCCCCCCCCCCCCCCCACACACACACACACACACACACACACACACACACACACGCACGCGCGCGCGCGCCTCGCTCCCCCATACTGAGACCTGCTACTGTGCTGACACGCCCATATTCATGCTGTGTACTGTGCTGACACGCCCATGTTGATACTGTGTACTGTGCTGGGACGCCCATGTTGATACTGTGTACTGTGCTGGGACGCCCATGTTGATACTGTGTACTGTGCTGGCACGACCATGTTGATTCTGTGTACTGTGCTGGCACGACTATGTTGATACTGTGTACTGTGCTGGGACGCCCATGTTGATACTGTGTACTGTGCTGGCACGACTATGTTGATACTGTGTACTGTGCTGGGACGCCCATGTTGATACTGTGTACTGTGGTGGCACGACCATGTTGATACTGTGTACTGTGCTGGGACGCCCATGTTAATACTGTGTACTGTGCTGGCACGACCATGTTGATACTGTGTACTGTGCTGGGACGCCCATGTTGATACTGTGTACTGTGCTGGCACGACCATGTTGATACTGTGTACTGTGCTGGGACGCCCATGTTCATGCTGTGTACTGTGCTGTTACCGGTGCTAACTGTGATTTACCATTTACGAACAAACAATTCCACTATGTATGAGTGTAACGTCAACTAAGCTTCCGTACCTACCGTCTTCTACTGTCACTACCCCGTCTTCTACCGTCACTAATCTTCTCTACTGCCACTTATTGAAACCTCTCTTAACATATTTGGAGGAACTTGTCAAGTTATAAATTCTGGAAAAAAATATGAATATATAGTAAACGGGGAAATATAAGACTATGAATGGTCAGGAAGTGAGTCGTGTTCAGAAGCACACGTACCTGGGAGTGTGTGATGGAAACACCCGCCAGAGTAAACAAAAAATGCTGAAATCAGCACCTTGGGTAAATCCCGACTGCATCCTCTAGCATTTTCTGGGGCGGGTGCTGGGGGTACTTATCTTGCGGATGTTACAAGCACTATTCGGTCCCTGATCGACTATTGTTATGATCTCAGCCTACAGGAGAAACGAGTCTCCCCCTTGAGAGTTATTCAGCAAGCCTGACCTTACTAGATAGTATCGGAAATATAGAGGCGATAACACAGATGTAAAATAGTTTGTTGGATTCAACGAACAATTTAAGATTATGGGCAGTGCATGAGGAAATAGATAAATGACTAGTTAGGACATGTCGATACTTTGCTGCAGGCGCGAGGCTCGCTTCTGGAGGGCTTTGAGCTCACTTGAGGCCAGACATCGCAGGGGGAAAGCCGCGTTCCGTTTGAGCTCCCGTCAGAAAGGAACCCCTAGTGATATATCTCCAAGAGAAGAGAAGTGTGTAGACATGCCAGCTGTGGAATTGAGCTGGGAACGTTGTGGTCTCAAGTCCTGGACGGCGAGGAGAGTATTAAGCCACGGGATAGCGCCCTCGACTAGACAATCTGTGGTAAGCACGATTTAAGCCAGTTCATAGTGATTGCTTGTAGTTGGTCGTGTGCCCAGCAACAGTAGCAATGATTATTGATAAGTTAGACATGTTTTGATAAGGCAGAAAGCCTAAAATAAGAGAGTGGAGAGGGAGGAACGTCATGGAACACGGAGCGATATCCGTCTCCTCTGAGCGCTGGCAGGTGACTCGGCTCCCGACGGCGGAGGGCCCTCCCAGAGTGAGAGAGGCCCACCGGGCGAGGTGGAGCATGGACCAGCCCAAAAACGGGGGAGTCCACTCTCACAGTATGTAGAGGACAGATAGAGGTTGGAGGCAAACATATTGTGTGATTATTTTTGTTTATGTGTTAAAGGGGAAACATTTTTATTGGAGTGTCGATGGGTTGCAGGTTTGTCTTTGGGGAAGAAGTTGCTGAGAACTTCGAAGCCAGCACAGAGGAAGTAGTTGATGAGACTCCAAGGTAGTGGAGCAGAGG